TCCTGCTCCCAACATCCAGATTGTTTCCACATTCATGCAGGTAACATAGTCACATTTTCTTTCAGGAAAATGATTCAAGTAAGAGTTCTACCTGTCCAAACAGCAATAAGAATATTAAAGATACAACAAAAAGAGTTGTACTATCATTAATATTATCTGTTTATCTATTAAATGCTCTTTACATTAATCCATAGGCTTTTACATGCTTGTTTGTGGAACTTCCCAGTAAGACCACTGCCCTCTGTGGAATTTTTTTAAGAAAGATGTGAATGATCCTTTTCAGTTCCCATACCAGCTTGTGTGTGTGTGTGTGTGTGTGTGTGTGTGTGTGTGTGTGTGTGTGTGTGTGTGTGTGTACTTCTTCTTCAACTACTGATAAAATTTCTCAAGTTCTCATTCTGATGCATGAAAAGCATCATGCACCACAGTTTTTTCATGCAGCTCTGCTAATAAATGGTGATAATGGACTGGACTACAGCCCGTTGGGTTTCACACTAAACACACTGAAACCAACATACTTCTGCTTCTGCCTTTTAACTATGCATACCCCTTCCTTTAAAAAAACGAACAAACAATTCTAACCCCAAAGATGTCAAGTGCACAAACAACCGAGTATACTGTACACAAGCGTTGCATATCCTACATTTCCATTCATACTAAGTGAGAGCAGGTCTCTACTAATGAACCATGCTTTAGTTCTGCACTTAGAAGCATCTTGCTGGTGTTAGGTAATACATATGGGTCACCAGGTTACACTAAGTCACCTGCAGTCAAACATAGTAAAATACTGAAAATTTGTAAGGCTTACAAAGTTTACAAATGTCCCATGAATGCTTTATGTCTTTTGTTTATAAAAGCAAAGGTGATGTAAAGAATCAATCCACTTACAAATGGACTTCTTTTAACTTGCGGTGCTCCTATACCCCATGGAGTCAACATGATCACTGAGACCACAACAGAGCAGACATGGATGCACAGTAAAATAAATTCAAAAGTTGCATAAATAGTTATTGTCTATAGTGCAGAGACAGTGGTCTGAGTGATTTTAATCTGTGACCCTGGCAGAAATGCTCCACACATCTGTTCTGAATTTTTGTTTGTTTCTCGCTTAAGGTCTCTACAAGTTCCTCTCTTTTAGAACTTTAAGTATGTTTTGATGCTAATACTTTTGCACTTTTACTTAAAATGCCTATTTCCAGCCATTTAATGGTTAATCTTGGGGACCTCTAGATTAGCTTTGCACCAATCATAACGCCAAATAGTCTGTAATTATTTCAGAACGATAAAACATGAGAGCCCCTTCCTGAAAACGAGAGGATAGTTCGTAAATGCACACAACTCCTGTTGCCAGTGTTGTGTCAAGATGTGTTTCCCCTAACATGAACCCTAACATTATCCTAACCAGAACAACTGAGGGGAGCACTACATGAAACCGAGTTTTGAACAGGGGAACACATCTAGACGAGGGAACACTTTTCAACTGGTCAGGAAGCAGGACAACAGATAAACATAAAACATTGACAATTAAGCTATGCTTTCAGCAGTGACAATACCTCAAATCCTACCTGACATGTGAATAAATACAAGGGATGGAGAATCAATAATTTTTATTCCTAGCTGGCTCCATGGTGATCACACACCAGCAGCAATGATCATACCGACAGCAACTACGCACACACCTATTACACCGACAATCCCACATGTTGTGCATCATCTTGGGTGGCTTTATAGTACCACTACGCCTATGTATTTGCTGACGCGTGCAGCGAGATCTCGCATCGTGACACCATATCGACGGTTTGAACCGGTAACGGGAGTCACTCAGGCCAACCATTTCTGCATCGGACATCATCAGTCACGTGTCTTTTCGGCAACGATACAAACCTCGAGGCAGTGGTTCGCGGAAGATCCCTCTCCGAGTTCGAATCATGTATCGAGGCCTCGGTGTCAGATGGCCACCACTAGTAACAAGACCTGTACTATTTGTTTTTTCCCCTCTGTCAGCACCTCACCTGCCATTTGCTTTGCATCATGTTGCAGTATCTTCATCTGACTTCCCGCTCCTGTTTTTGATTGCCTGTTACTGGACTAAGTGCCATGTGTGTTTTGCTTCTTTTCTGGCCTCATGTTTTCTGCTAGGTACTGTAAATTATTTGCTCAAGTTGAGACTTTGTACTTATTTGGCCGCAAGATTTTCTGTTTTCTGTCTGCTCTTCTGTTTATGTACAGTTTCAGCATTTATGATGGTGCTTGGTGTATTTTGAGTTCTATGATTGAAGAGGACTGTATTCATGCACACCTTGAGTGTATTCACTTTCCTTACATGATTACCAGGTGTCCTGCTTTGTAGTCTT